GAACGTCTTGGAGCGCCACAACAAAGTCGGAATGTAATCCTCTTACACGGCAGAGAGCAACTGGAAGCTGGCTGCGCGTGTAATCGGGGCTTAAAAGCGCGGTATTACACGCGGCTTCCCGGTTCCGCAAGCGGGACGACGCCTACGTGTTTCGAGAAAATCGAAAGGGCCTCTCTGAACGCCGCTAATGGATCCCCGATCGACGGGTTAATTAAACGTGAACCGTGGTTTTCAGCCAATTTAAGCAGTCGTTCTCCAACAACACTGTACGTTCACCCCTTAATCCCTTGAAAAGCTAGTTGTGTGTTTGCACGATTTTTTTCTTCTTTTCCTTTTTTTTTTTTTCTTTTCTTTGTACTTGGAATGAAGCCTTTCAAAATCTACGTCTAAGAAAAGAAAAATATCTTCTAATAAGTAAAGTTTGTAAAAGACGATCAATATTTATTTATTGCATGCAGAAAGAAGTGAAGGCCATCTTATTTCTCTCAACAAAAAATGCATGGAACATTCTATTCCGACAGTGGATTTATCAATTTTACAATAAAGTCTAGTCTGCGAAAATACAGGTACATAATTATTTCAAAAATATAACACAAACACGTACAATAGCGCTTCGATATTTAGTGAATTAATGAAATTTTCGTTTGAAATTCCATTCTCTTAAAATGTATTCATATATTCAAAATATTCGAAATTTGATAAACAATTGCGAATAAAGAAAACGAAAGCGAGTATTCGAATAAAATTAACGGGGGGTTGAATGAAAATTGAATACGTTCAAACGGGACAAGAAGTGAAAATCCTTTGGAGCAACATGATCCAATATTTTCTCACGTAACGTCCAACCTTCAAGAAGCACATACACAAAGACAAATCGGGAGGGCAGATTGGAGCGAAAGGTACGATCTGACCGATTAGACTTGTGGATTAACAAAGGCTCCGCGCTGTCAGTTGTCGCAGGACACCCCCGTGTCGTTGTCACGTTGCAAAGGGAGGAAAACGTTCTAAGTGAGCTTTATCCTCGTTTTATCTTGTTTTCTAACCACCCCTCTCGAATCCCACCGCGAGAGGATCGTAGCTGGAGGACGAGCATCGGTCATCTAGGCGCTCCATTTAATCCTGCTGGAAAAGAACCCCCCGTGGCGCGGAGACAAGCAGGGATCCTACTCCCGTAGGATAACAGAAGGAGCAAGACGAAAGAGGGGAAGGGAGAAAGAGCGAGGCTAGAAACCGGCGGGATGTCGCTAATTCGACCCTTCGAAACTTGACCTGCTCGACTTTCCTAGTCCACTTCCACTTTAATTTACGACATTATTTTCCGCGCCGCGGACTGATGAGTCCCTTTAATTGTCCGTGGCTAATGCCACCATCTCATCCCGCCTTTGTCTTATGTCCCGGAGAATCTATTTTCAGGTTTGCCCTTCGTTGCGAGAAATAATTTTCGCAGACTTTCACGTTTTTAATTTAATGAAAAATAAATAGGAAGATACGGACACGCTTAAATTCTCGAGTAATTGTATTACTATTTCATTTGTAATTAAATTTATGAATTTAATTGCTTCAGATTGTCCGCAATGGGGGTTGATATTGAGATCGAATTAAATGAAAAATTCCAAAATCAAGTGATTTATCGTTTCCAATGATACTGGTTAAGTATCAACTAATATTATGAGTAATTTTGCTGCAATATTAGTATCTTGAACCGATCTACCATTTAAGCAAAAACTAAAACTATTGAAAAAAGAAAAAGAAGAAACGGAATAAAGCATAAAAATAACAGAACAAACCGCTGTTAATCAAACCTCTCCTCTTTGAATCTTCATTCTCCTCGATACGGGGAGGAAAATGACCATGGAAATAACCAGAACGCCTAACCGAAAATTCATTCTCGAGAACGCGCGGGAGGACAAGTGGCAAAGTCGTGTTCATCGGTCGTTGAATGCATATATTAAGACGTGTCCGGCGCACTTGTCGCAGCGGGGGAGAAGGCTAACAAATGTCCTTCCTGAAGCGTTTGACCCCTGGTAAGTTCAGCCACCGGCGCGTTAGACCGTTCGAATCTCGAGTCGAGGAAAACCACCAGAGAGAGAGAGAGAGAGAGAGAGAGAGTAAACCCTGTCCTCCCTAGAAGCTCGAGCATTTATGATGAAAGGACGGTTGGTGCAGCGTAGTCCTCCGACCGCATAGTCCTCTGGAACCACGAGGAAACTAATCAGCAAATTCGTGTTCTAAATCTAAATCGCCGTCCGAATATTAATTCGAGGCCTCTCTCTATCCTTGTCCTTGCGTGTTCGTTCGGTTTCGCTGGTCCAACGGAGAACCGTCGTCCCCCATCGCGCGTAGCCGAGGGCCAGGCCTCCTCTGTCGCGTCCGTCGCGTCGTTTCGCCTAGGTTTTGCGCGATACAACCAACCGCTGTTGGCCACGAGCGAGCGCGCACAGAAGGCTGATTTGTGACACCGGCTGGCGCCTAAGCGATATTTACGACTGTCGTTCAGGGAATCGAAACACAGCGCGGCTGCGGGACGGTCGGTGCTCCGCGGGGCCGCTTCTAATTGCATTGAAAAGTCGCCCGGTTCCCGGAAATCGATTTCGAGAGCCGTGGGCTTCAAAGCGCGGGTAAAAAGCGCGCGGCTCTGCCGCAGGACCCTTCCGAGACGTTAACCCCTTAAGCGGAAAGAGCAGCTAGAGAGACGAGCTGATCGACCTGCTGTCGCCGAATTCAATGTATGTTTGGCTCGATGGCAACGTTTTATGGTTTCGTTTGACATGGATTATGGATTATGGGTATTTACATTTTTGAAATTACGATCGTACGTCTGTATATCAGGGAGTAATTTATACTGATAAGAGGATAATGTATCAAAGCATGTTCTGTAAGGTTAACTTTATTTGTTATATATTATTCTCTAATTTTAAATGAACGCTCGAAGAATCAAAGAAGCAAAATATCTAAAATAAAAGATTGTTTCAGTTATTTATGCAAATGGTACTATTAAATTGCAAGATGTTTACGACAATCGTATATTTTTATAAACATACAAACATAGACTGTAAATATTTGTTTCACTTATTTTAATATATAATTTTGTATTAATAACTGTATTGATTAATCGAATAATATAATTATATATAATTGTAACTGTATAACTTTTGTAATTAACA